GTTGCGACTTGATCCTCAAAAACGTAGACTGCTCTGGTGATCTTGTGCTCACCACAGGGTTTTGGGTCAAAGGATTCGGTAGAGAACCATAATCGTCTTCCAGTTCAGGCCTGCACACCCTGACAGTATCCCAGCTCACGTACAACCATGAATTGCAGAATTAAAAATGACTTCATGCCACATCAGCTGTCATATGGTGCCATCAGCCGGGTCACCGTACTTGCTGCGTACAGCAGAGCGGGTAAGTGAAAAAGGACTACTACTGATGCCAGATTTTGTTTGTCGACCCCACCTCCCCAAATTTCCTCTCGCTTTTGTTTGCATCCATTTGCTGATCCAAAGGCCACTGTGGCTTGTTGTATTGGAATTTGTGTTGTTTTAAGTCAGAGCTGAGGGGTCTCTGGTCGAATGCTCACCAGTTAGTAGCTACCTTCGTGCAGTCGGTTTGGCAACAACTGTGAGGACCCGTAGGAAACCCATAAACGCGCCGATACCCGTGGAATTTCATCGCATCCACTTACGGCCAAACGAAATATAGCCCTGTAACACCCTTTCTATGCCTAGCTGTCGCGCCACCCGAAGAAAGCATGGGGGCTGGTTTACTACCAGGTTGCCCAATCCTAGACAGGGGAAATCGAGATGCACAGATCGGGTTCGAACCACGGACCTTCGGGTTAGTAAATTCGCCTTCTAACCACTGTATCCCTGATGCCCTCAAAGACCGTCTGTACGACACTTTGTGTGTTTTATCACAGCTACTGTTGTAGTCACTGGGTGTATGAATGCGCAAGTGTTTGAGCTTAACGTTGCTGATACCCGATTAGGTGTTCATCTTGGACTGGAATGGGGATGCACGGTCAGCAGCGAATACCTGCTGCAGTTATGTGCCGACCACAGACCATGTGGTACTGAATTTCGAACCAACCGAATCCATTTGGTCACATGACACTTCTTCCCTGCAAACAAGGGTAGGTGGCGTGGGTCACTTTGTGATTGCCACCCGTTCGGGAACACCTGTCCGTCACTGCTCGTCCTTGTGTTTTTCAGGGGCGCGCATGATGCGCACACCTAGCCTGATCATTGAGAAGCTTCCGGATAATACCTGCTTTGTAGCTAGAGTTTGCGTCATCTACGTCGCCTTTCGAAGGCGCCTAGACGATGGAATCTGAGGACTGCAAGCATGATTCCAGGTGGAAAAGTCCTGTGTAGGCCATACCTTCACACTCCACCAAGTATTAGAACAACGGCATGCATGTAGGCGCATTGATGCTCTTTGACTATCAGAGTTCGTTCGATTCCGTTGACCATTTCATACTTCTCAACATACTTGCTCAACAGGGTTTGCCGTAGAACTTTGTAAATATCATGCATTGTTTTTATCCACATGCTTGTGGGTGTTTGGACCCATAAATTGAAGTGAAGTGAAGTAAGCCACAGCGCCTGGTTTATTGCGATGCGGCTTGCGAGTTAACTGGAATGCATTGAAAAGGGACAATAATGACTGAAAATGAAACGGCACTTGCCGCTCGCTTTGGGAGTCGGCTAGCTACCCACCAACTATAAGTAATTTGCTGCGAAAGAAATCCGACCAAACACATACGGGTCATTCATATGAGAAGTGGTTCTTTGGGAAGCTAGTCAACACAGGACCACGTCAGACTAACTAAGTGATTGAAGAATGATGGTGCGGTATCCTGTCTGCGTGTAAGTTAATTACACGGTTGATCAACCGTTTGTAATGTTCAGGCACTAATCGGAAAATCGCGATTTCCAATTCCGCAGAGATTCCAAAGATGTGCACTTATTCTTTCAAGCAAGGATAAAGGGGCGTTGCATGTTTCTTGGATTTCAATATAAAATGAGTTCGATCACAGCATGGAATAGTGATCTTAAGTTTAAAACCATCTGCTGCTTAAGCGAATTTGCAGAAGAGTCCATAATTACAAGACTCAACTTGTTGGCCGTGTTTGGACCTCGTCATAGAGACACTGGACCTTAGCGCGGTATGACGATTTATGCGCGTGCACGTGTAACACTCACAGACCCTCATAACAGGTTGGTCCATGGGGAGAGGTCTGACCAATAGTCTCCTGGTTGGAAGTTGGTGCATGTGTTGCGACTTGATCCTCAAAAACGTAGACTGCTCTGGTGATCTTGTGCTCACCACAGGGTTTTGGGTCAAAGGATTCGGTAGAGAACCATTATCGTCTTCCAGTTCAGGCCTGCACACCCTGACAGTATCCCAGCTCACGTACAACCATGAATTGCAGAATTAAAAATGACTTCATGCCACATCAGCTGTCATATGGTGCCATCAGCCGGGTCACCGTACTTGCTGCGTACAGCAGAGCGGGTAAGTGAAAAAGGACTACTACTGATGCCAGATTTTGTTTGTCGACCCCACCTCCCCAAATTTCCTCTCGCTTTTGTTTGCATCCATTTGCTGATCCAAAGGCCACTGTGGCTTGTTGTATTGGAATTTGTGTTGTTTTAAGTCAGAGCTGAGGGGTCTCTGGTCGAATGCTCACCAGTTAGTAGCTACCTTCGTGCAGTCGGTTTGGCAACAACTGTGAGGACCCGTAGGAAACCCATAAACGCGCCGATACCCGTGGAATTTCATCGCATCCACTTACGGCCAAACGAAATATAGCCCTGTAACACCCTTTCTATGCCTAGCTGTCGCGCCACCCGAAGAAAGCATGGGGGCTGGTTTACTACCAGGTTGCCCAATCCTAGACAGGGGAAATCGAGATGCACAGATCGGGTTCGAACCACGGACCTTCGGGTCAGTAAATTCGCCTTCTAACCACTGTATCCCTGATGCCCTCAAAGACCGTTTGTACGACACTTTGTGTGTTTTATCACAGCTACTGTTGTAGTCACTGGGTGTATGAATGCGCAAGTGTTTGAGCTTAACGTTGCTGATGCCCGATTAGGTGTATGTATGAAGCTTAACGTTGCTGATGCCCGATTAGGTGTTCATCTTGGACTGGAATGGGGATGCACGGTCAGCAGCGAATACCTGCTGCAGTTATGTGCCGACCACAGACCATGTGGTACTGAATTTCGAACCAACCGAATCCATTTGGTCACATGGCACTTCTTCCCTGCAAACAAGGGTAGGTGGCGTGGGTCACTTTGTGATTGCCACCCGTTCGGGAACACCTGTCCGTCACTGCTCGTCCTTGTGTTTTTCAGGGGCGCGCATGATGCGCACACCTAGCCTGATCATTGAGAAGCTTCCGGATAATACCTGCTTTGTAGCTAGAGTTTGCGTCATCTACGTCGCCTTTCGAAGGCGCCTAGACGATGGAATCTGAGGACTGCAAGCATGATTCCAGGTGGAAAAGTCCTGTGTAGGCCATACCTTCACACTCCACCAAGTATTAGAACAACGGCATGCATGTAGGCGCATTGATGCTCTTTGACTATCAGAGTTCGTTCGATTCCGTTGACCATTTCATACTTCTCAACATACTTGCTCAACAGGGTTTGCCGTAGAACTTTGTAAATATCATGCATTGTTTTTATCCACATGCTTGTGGGTGTTTGCGAGTTTACGAGGAGCTCTCCAGATGCCTTGCTGCAAACAGTGATTGTCGACTCCAGTTTTATTCAATTTCAACATTGATGAAGTAATGAGGCGAACACTGAGAGGTCTCCAAAACCCCAGTGTTCAAATATCTCAGTGCGGGAACCTTGTCGACCTGGAGTGTGCGGAGGACAATGTTTTCTTGTGTAAAAAAAGAACAGAAAGCGCAGGCAATACTAGAAAGGCCAACTAAGGTGATCCGATCTTTCGGTATGCCCTTCGCACCCGCAGGCAATCTAGAAAGGCCAACTAAGGTGATCCGATCTTTCGGCATGCCCTTCGCACCCCCAAAGTGCGATGTCATCCTGTGGGATGTACATTATTTGGACATGCTTCTGAGAATTCAAGGAGTGACATTGGAGGTTGTGGAACCGTCTTGGTAGTTGAATTAGCTCCGACGGTAGTGTGATGGACCAAGTGATTGCATGATTCTCGAAGACCGGAATTGCGTTTTTCTCTTCTGGAATGCTACTGTGATGCTCTTTTACCCCTCTAATGTCCGATGTCCCATTTTTGTACGGCATAGAATTTTAGGTGAATTTCACGTGTCCCTTAAGGTCGTAGTTAGATTGCACTTTTTGGGTACAACCGATTCCAGTTGCATTGTCCCAGATGGCTTATCACCAATTCTAAACAGTTCACAACCTCAACCTCACTCTTATCATTGACGCTAGGGTCTCTCTGCTACTTTGTCAGTAGGGCCCATGAGCCAGAGGTTGTCTAACCTGCAACTAGTCAGTGTTCTTCGTGACGACGGTGGATTCGCTCTCTTCTGCCTTTGTTTGCCTCCCGGCGAACAGATTCAGGGACTCTGTCTACAAAATTGGGTGTAACGACTGCATTAAGGTCCCTGTAGGAGAGACGACCAGGGAACTTCACTCCGGAATCGGAGAGCACTGGCGAGAAATAAACAGGCCAACGAGGCACGCAGATGAGAATCGAGCGTTACTGAAGGACTCGGCAATGGCGGAACATACAGTGGACACCGGACGCAAATAGATTTAGAAAAATTGAAATTTTGAGACTACGCCACACAGACGGATAGCCTAGTCGCTGGAAATTACCAAGCATCCCAGTGTTAATAGAACAAAAGAAGTTGAACTGGCACACATTTGAAGACCGGTTTTGGATCAGTCGAGCAGACACTTGTTTGTGTGCGGTTATCAGAAGGAGTCAGCAACACAAGTAACTTAGATCTAAATCGCACTTGATTTCACCCCCAACCAAATTATCGTAGCACTCACAAGCCCACACAGACCAACGAAATCTACCAGTTGCACCCAAGGTAAACCATCGTTTGAAGCACCTTGAAGTGGAGGTTTAAAGAACCGAATTGGATCAAAAATAACTTGAAACTCCCTCAGCTCATCAGCTACAAGATTTAGGCAATACACTTTGACATTCAAAACTAATCTAGTATACCAGTCTGAATAGTTTGTACTGATTGGTGCCTTTCAAAATTCTGTGATTCACATTGCTGTGTTGGTTTAAGCCACTTGCCCGTAGTTGCTGAGCAACAGCCTGTTTCATTTTGAGAGAAGTGAGGACAGCTTATTGCTGTTATGATTTCCTTCCAGACTCGTCCAGCTGTAACACCGTTTTGGTGCTCAGCTTCCATGCCACACGAAGGAGGCACGAGGGTTGGGATATTGCCAGGTTGCCTGCCCCTAGACAGTGAAGGTCAAGAGGTAGAGGTCGGGTTCGAACCACGGACCTTCCGGTCAGTAAATTCGCGCTCTAACCACTTGGTCCGTCTCGCCCCTCTGTTATGATTTACGGCTGGATGGTCACGGTAAACCTAGAGTTCATATCCAGCTAACAGCATAGGCGTCAGGTCGTTGTATAGCATCTCTATGTGCTGTTTACAGGTAGCTTATCGGTTTGCCAAAGCATAATCTCGATCAACAATCGAAACATTCGCAGTTCGATTATCTAACGGTACACACATGTACTTCCACGTAAAACTACCCAGTCATTTTCAACACATACTACAGAACTCCTTGTCTTTAGTCCAACCCAGCAGGTTAGTAACTGAATGTGCACTGCTTGCAGTGATTTGGTCCTGACAAATCCTGTGACAAAGATGTCATCGATGAGTCTTTGTTTGCACGAGATTTGCCCCGGGGCATATCAACCGTCTCATTTTCACGACTGGTTTCGACATTTGAAGACGCTCCGTGCCACCGACAGTAGCTGTCTGCTGATGTGTGAACAGTGTGTGGAACACTATGATATATCAGTTCAGTCAATCAAGCCGCTGTCATTAACACATTTTGAATAGTGGATACGGTTCCACTCTTTATGCTGAATATGCAGTCCGATGCATCGTATACTTAATGGGCCTTTTGAAGTTGTGCAAAATAGCCATTCGTACAATCAGCTAAGATTATTGACCATTGCTACGCATAGGCTGCAACTTCACGGTTCTAAGATCCTTTCTTGGTGGTATTTTCAAAAAAGGTGAAGTGTTTCTCGTATATTTCAACAGAAGAAATTCGGGGACTGGGAAATGGTCCTTATGGAAGTTTGATCATTATGTGGGGTATACTAAAGAAGGAGTAGTCTTACTGCGGCCAATGCGGAGTCAGTCATCGGCTTGACTAGAATGCCCATTTCCGCATTTATATGTGTAGTTTATTGTGACGCATAAGTCTTCCACATTTATCAACGCGCCCCTTCACTTTTGAAGCAAACAGACTTCCCATGTGCTGCCGACTAAGACAGGCCACTGTGTGCATGCTGTGTGGTGTACTGTCGTTTGCACTCTTAGCAGTATGTGTTCTGTAAGGAATTTGACCACACCTGTTGGGCAGAAAAACAGAGTAGCACTTTACCTAATGTTTTTTGTTGTGAATTGGAAATACATGCTATCTGGGATGGGAAAATGGAGTGGTATAACGGTGTTGGTTCGGGGGTGATTTTCCTTAGAGGCTCATACTAATATATGTGAAGTTCTTTTCGGTGCGGCTGGTTTGCATCAAAAAGGTAGTGATTTCCTATCCGGTTCGTCCGAATCGACCAGCAGACTCAACGAAACTGTTGTTCAACTGACGTTTTTCACCATTGCCTTCTTCATCACTTGTTCATCGCTTCCATTTCTCTGAGGTAGTGAGGCGAGTGGGGAAACAGGCGATAGATTTTAAGTGTGACTAGGATCAAAGCGGTTGCTTTTTGACAACCTTCTTGTCTTTTGTAAAACGTAATTTTAGATTTTTTTGGGTGGCTATCCGTCTATGGATCTGATCTGATGTATTAAGTAGGTGGTTGTAAACGGATATGGAAGCAACTGAACAATGTCGATTCGCTCTACGATCCGTGCAAATACACAGACGTCCTTCATAAGCGAAAAGGTGGATTTCAGAAACTGAGCCGGACGTTTGCGCACAAGTTTGTAAGGAATTGCTGTGCTGGTTGGTACGTCCAAGTGATTACCGACCGTGTGGCTCGGAGGCCATTCGGGCGCCATCAGCCCGCCTACGTGAGGTTCCATAACAGCGAACACGCGTATCAATTAGTTTATACTGAGATACTGACCTCATCCATTGCGTTCTTTAGGTTTTAGCATAACGACGCTCGTTCTCTGAATAAAATACTAGAGGAATGCTTCCTGGTTGTTGCTGATTACAGCGTTTTCGGGATGGGAATGAACTGTCTGGTGGCATACCGGCAGTAAGGTAGTCACCGGTTGTTTCATAACGCAGCGTCACTGAGCATTCGGGCCCAATTTAGGCCACCCAATGGCTCCACCAGTCATCGGCTTGACTAGAATGCCCATTTCCGCATTTATATGTGTAGTTTATTGTGACGCATAAGTCTTCCACATTTATCAACGCGCCCCTTCACTTTTGAAGCAAACAGACTTCCCATGTGCTGCCGACTAAGACAGGCCACTGTGTGCATGCTGTGTGGTGTACTGTCGTTTGCACTCTTAGCAGTATGTGTTCTGTAAGGAATTTGACCACACCTGTTGGGCAGAAAAACAGAGTAGCACTTTACCTAATGTTTTTTGTTGTGAATTGGAAATACATGCTATCTGGGATGGGAAAATGGAGTGGTATAACGGTGTTGGTTCGGGGGTGATTTTCCTTAGAGGCTCATACTAATATATGTGAAGTTCTTTTCGGTGCGGCTGGTTTGCATCAAAAAGGTAGTGATTTCCTATCCGGTTCGTCCGAATCGACCAGCAGACTCAACGAAACTGTTGTTCAACTGACGTTTTTCACCATTGCCTTCTTCATCACTTGTTCATCGCTTCCATTTCTCTGAGGTAGTGAGGCGAGTGGGGAAACAGGCGATAGATTTTAAGTGTGACTAGGATCAAAGCGGTTGCTTTTTGACAACCTTCTTGTCTTTTGTAAAACGTAATTTTAGATTTTTTTGGGTGGCTATCCGTCTATGGATCTGATCTGATGTATTAAGTAGGTGGTTGTAAACGGATATGGAAGCAACTGAACAATGTCGATTCGCTCTACGATCCGTGCAAATACACAGACGTCTTTCATAAGCGAAAAGGTGGATTTCAGAAACTGAGCCGCCGGTTAACTCATGGACGTTTGCGCACAAGTTTGTAAGGAATTGCTGTGCTGGTTGGTACGTCCAAGTGATTACCGACCGTGTGGCTCGGAGGCCATTCGGGCGCCATCAGCCCGCCTACGTGAGGTTCCATAACAGCGAACACGCGTATCAATTAGTTTATACTGAGATACTGACCTCATCCATTGCGTTCTTTAGGTTTTAGCATAACGACGCTCGTTCTCTGAATAAAATACTAGAGGAATGCTTCCTGGTTGTTGCTGATTACAGCGTTTTCGGGATGGGAATGAACTGTCTGGTGGCATACCGGCAGTAAGGTAGTCACCGGTTGTTTCATAACGCAGCGTCACTGAGCATTCGGGCCCAATTTAGGCCACCCAATGGCTCCACTGTCAGTCACATGTAAGTGTTTGCTCTTACAGGCTGCTCCACATGGATGTGGGCGTAGCGTTCTCTGGGAACAATGAACTTCGTGAACTCAGCAGACACTGAGTTCAGATGACCGAAAAACTCTGCAGTCTCGTAACACCTCAATTTGCATCGCATCAGCACAGCAAATAATTACATAAGCTCTAAGTGGCGGAGTCAGTGGTTGCAAAATTAAGATGGAACCTACATCGATATAGGCAGGTATGTGCTTGTTTATGTCATCTGCCACGTAATTCAGTGCCCGTGCAGACAGCAGTGAAGCCGGAAAATGTGGCGCTTAAAGTTTTTGTGCAAATGCAGCATGTGGTAAGTGGTACAATGAGTTTGGTCTTTTCGAATGGCTCATTTATTTTGAGACATTCGTTTGAACTACACCGAAACAGTTTGCCAGGCTCCTCTGTTGAAGAATAACTATTACGTTTTTTCACCTATCAGCAGGGTATCATGGTGCTGCAATTCGAATTCCCCTTGAGTTCTCCTTAATAAGTTTACTGGCTATAGGTCTTCATGTCTTTTTTGTCAATTGTAGCCCTGCAATAGCACACCTCGCTTGAATCATGTCCGACGAACGCCACAGACCAGCCGAACCAAACCATCAGTCCTTTCTAGTCAAACCAATGGGCAGTTACGCAAGCGCAAACTGATCGGCGGCTCTTCTCAAGTATCTCCACGGGAGAGTACCTCTATCCCCACCTTGAAAGTGAAGAAAAGTACCACGGTGAAGTTAACCAAGTTTGGTAGCATCCGTCAAAGCCGGCGCAGTGCCCGTTTCTCACGGCCGCCAGACTTGGATTTGAACCCGCCCAAGACAGATAGTGTATTATCACCTAACCAGTGCGAAGAAGCTTCTGACCTACTGGGACATTACTCGTCTGTGCTCGAACCAGTCGTATCGGTTGATGATTCTGATGTTACGGGACAACTGGCATCTGCTGAGATCAAATTACCTTCCCCCATCACCACTTGTGGTACACATTCGACGGAGTCCAAGCCCACTACGGGACTGACTTCTCTGTCCCCCCAGTCTCGGCAGTCCAGTGAGCAGGAAAGTTTACAAAAGCGTGCGAGAAAGGTAAATGTTTTTTACAGTTGAGAAGTTTTAGCTGGTGAAGATTAATTTTTATGAAACGCAGTGGGCCGGTGTCGGACGGCTATTGGATGGCCTTGTCAATTCCCTCAGGAGAATGTTGCTGAGATGCGCTAGCTTTTATGTTCTGATTTGAACAATTCGGTTCGCGCATGCTAACGAGAGCAGTTCTTAGTTAACCGGAGATCGTTACACTCTTCACTGTATTTCAGACAAACTACCATGTTCGCCGAGCCTACGGCACGAACACGGTGGTAAAACGAGCTGGGTGTTTTGTGTGGCGCTCGTTGTTTGTCGTAGTAATTTTGTTAAATCATCTCTGAAATATCAGAGGCATAGGCTCCCTTCTTCACGTGCAAGGAACATCATTCCCCTTTGTAGGGATTGTTTGCGTTCCGTTGAGTTAACCGTTCTTTGAATGCGAACGCACAACCTGGAGTCACAATTGCTTGGGTGCTGTCTCATTCACGGCATGGATACGTTCTGGCGGATCGATGCCTCGCTGCACTTCCTTACACATGCTGGTAGTGTGCTCACCAGTAACTATTTGTGTCCTGATTTGGGTGATGAACTTCGACTATCCCTCCAGTAAAAAAGACAAAACTGCTACCATAGATGGACAGAATAAATGTAGGCGGCAACTTCCAACAGGCTGAGATACAAACAGGAACGCAGTGGCGGCCATTGGTCACGTCACTCTGTCTTGTTCATAAATGAATTGGAAAAAGAACGTTCAGCTGTAGCACCCTTCCGGTGCCTAGCTGCCATGCCACCCGAAGGAAGCACGAGGGCTGGGATACTGTCAGGTTTCCCAAGCCCAGAAAGAGGAAGTCGAGAAGCAGATGCCGGGTTCGAACCACGGACCTTCCGGTCAGTAAATTCGCGCTCTAACCATTTGGGCTATCTCGCCCATAATGAATTGGAAAAGCTTTGCACTTTAATGAAGCAATGTCTAGCAGCTAGGACTCATTTCGTGTCTACGGGATGTGAGTAATTATCAGCATTAGTAAATTCGTGTTGGTCGCATTTGGTAAATAAAAGCGGGAGCTTTCCACTGTCGTAGTCAAACATCTCACCCGGTGGAATTCGAAGAGCATCGCTGTTTGTTCCCGTTGTGACTTCAATGGGGCGCAATTTTTATGTCACTGCTGGTGCGCATCTGACTCAGTGCATCTTACGCGAGAGTTCAAAAGCCGTTCATCGCTGTACACCATCACCGAAATCTGACATTCTTCCCATCCGCCGTTAGCAGTAGTTAATTTCGGATAGAACGGTCTCTTTAATGTCGCGGGTATAAATGGTTCAGAAGCTTGTAAAAGGTCACCTTTGAGAGTATAGGACAGAGCGATAGTCGACTGTCGGTGTTTTTTTTCTCGCATGGTGACCTTTAGTCCACCTTTTATTCATCATGCACTTCCAGCTTCGACTGTTTATTTTTGAGGGCTGTATTATCTCAGTTGAGTCAGCGCCGAACGCTAGGATAGTTTTGGTTGCGTAATAGTAGATCGATCGCTATCGTCTTCGGTCTTGTGTGTTACAGTGTTTTATTGGTGAAAGTTGCTAGCAGCAATATCTAGCCAATGCTGTCATGTCCTTACGTGACACGCAGTAGTATGTGTAACGTGATGTTTCCTCGGTTGAATTTACTTCGCCAGCTTCATGCTACAATGCTTCCCCCGTAGTCATTTGCTGCGCAAAAGCATTTTCTACCATGTTATACGCTTACGGATCCTGTCTTCTTCAGTTGTCTAAAGAAGAAGTGACCTGAATCCTAACATTCAATATAGACTCAGGATGCACCACTCGGGTACTCCTTTTGTGACCGTAATGGAATTTACGTGTATTCGGCATACAGGATTCGGTCCCTCGTGAGAGCCCGTCTACGGAGCGCATCTCCATTTTACCGGCCCTGGTGGTTTTCACATCATTCAACTGGTCTGAGTGGCACCATGCACGGTGGATACTGCCCATTATCACTCTTCTCGGGGCAAAGACCGACTGATGAAGCTCTACTGTCCACAAGTGAACGCTGCTGAAAGTTTTCGTTGATTGCTATGGATGGATCTTGGTCCGGGTTCAGATAGCTGTTATAGAAGTCTAATCGTATGGTAAAAATCATTATGCGGAAAAACTCTACACTAACCTATGAGACTGGAGGCCTGTACTAATTATTAGCCAAACTTGGAATACATCTATATGGTGTTCTACAGCTAGTCACGGTTGTAATCATTGAGCCTCGTCTGGCACCACTGAGGGTTTACCACACAAGATTTCTCACCGTGCCAAGGGACTTTGCCCAGTTTTCGTTGCAGGATGTCGCTGTTGTACGTTTAGCTATTTGATAACTCCAGAAAGCTAAGGCGGATCCGGTAAACTTACTTTATCCACCGACGTGTTTGCTAGTGGCCCACCGGTCCGACGTGACCACTACTCATGACCGCAGTCTTTCGATCCAGAAGCTTCGATGATACCCTTGCGCGCTTCAGCTTTCTGGCTCTCCCTGCTCCAGAGCCGTGGTGTCGCGAAAAGACTAGCCAACAAGTGGCACAACACCTTCGTTGCGAACACATGTAAGTAAAAGTTGCAAGGGGTCTCGTGGTATTGAATGTACACTGTTGATATCGATCCAGGCTGTCTGATCGGCGTTGTGTGAACACTGATCATCGTCGGCCGTGTTTCTGCAGCCCTCGTCGGCCGTTGCCCAATTGACTGACTGCTTGGGCGTTCATTTGGAAGCTTATTTTTCCGGCCTGGATGTTTGACTGCTACCCCGTTGTGATTTTGGTGGGGTTCGAGTACTCCAGTAGGTCTCGGGTATTCTGAGACTATTTGCAGAAGTCCTCCCTTGACATTTTTTATGCGCGGAGAAGGGCCGGATACTCCACTGGGTGCAGGTTGATGCGGAACGAAAGTCCTCTATGCGTCGATATCCCGGCCAAACCGCACAGCAGCAGTCGCAAACATGGCAACTTGGAACTTGGTGTGCTGGACTAGACTCGCTACACCAAAGCATCTAACACTGAATAGACGTTCTTCGGAGTGGTACTGGAATTGTAGTCCATCATGCTCGCTTGGGGCCTCGATTACGCGTCATATGATTCCCAGCCATGCACAGAGAATTGCTGGGACTTCAACAAGGGCACCGCGAATATCCCACAGCACCCAACCTAATGATGGCAACTCTTTTCGTGTTACCGTGCTATGCCTTCCCCTGCGGTGACTTTTTCACCAAGGATGCAAGGTTTTCTTCCATTTTAACTCTTGGTGGCAATCTCTCGATGCATGTGTCATTCAACAAAACGGCGTAAATTTAATAAAGAGGAATCCTAGTGGTGTTCATGCTACTTATCTTCTGGGATCTTACCCGTACTTGACTAGATTATCTTGAAGCTACGAGTTGTTACATATATTAGTGGCTTTTTGCTACGATTCCTCGATTCTTCTTGCGCATTTTGGAGTAAGGTAAAACTAGGTGGGAAACTCGAGGACTGCGCCTACCTGATGAGCCCTAAGAAGAGCTAAACCGGCCGTGGCTGTGGAAGAATTTTCAGCAACCTTATGAGTAGTGTACTACGTCTCTATAGGTATCAATCCCTTTCGTGTTTCCTACACAAATGCGGTGGATAGTATCAGACTCTAGCAACAGTGTCGATGATGACTGCCACCTTTAGGATCACTTTTCATCATACTTTGACCAATTTCAATGTGGGGCTGCTTTATACTAGTGAGGTTTCAGGTCCCGGTATCCTACGGGCATGATAGGTATCTCAGTATCATACCATTCTATTTTCATTAGTTATTATCTTTCCTCAACATTTACTGTGACCAAACTGAAGCACCAGATGGCAGCTTTCATTGGTGAGCAATTCTAGTCGATCCTCAGTGTCTGCGTGGCACGCGCCTTCGAGTTTACCTTGTTACGGGTTAGTAGATTGTGAACGTGATGAATGTAAGGATAATCAGTTACAGTAGCTTAGTCAGTAGTCCTCCGCGAACATATGTTAGTGAGTCAGTTCCGTGAAAAAGCATATTACCTGGTCACTGGAATCCAACTGGGTTGACAAATACTGTACACCGAAAGGAAACCACAGCCCAGCGTCTGATGATTACTGTCTACTTTTGCTTGATTGTTCCTTTCGGTTTTGCTTTCATACGATAAAGATGAAGTAAATGAAATATCGCTTATTCAGCCCTAACTCACAGATATACCATATCCGTGAAAACTATTTTCGAAGGGACAGTTTTTGTTATGCTATTCTACCTTTGTTTTCTTTTTTAGCTGTCTGTGGTTCCGCAGTCATCACCCACACTGGTGCATCCGCTTCCCAATGAAAATAAATATGCTAGTCCTCTTGGTTCTCCACGTCCAACCCGTGTCTCTCGGGCGTTGTCTTCTACCCTGGATTCTCCCGTCCCTTCCCCAATGCCGCCTCCGCGCCAGACCAAGACACTAGCAGCTGTACGCGAAAAGCTTCGAGCTAAACGCATGATGAAGGAAGCGGAGCGACAAAGTCCCGGGCAATCGTACTATTCACTACCCGGTAGCATGACCCCTCACCCAGCAAGTGGAGCCAGTGGTTATTTTCATCAACCATCCAGCTATCCTTCAAATGGTGGATTCGGAGTGTTGTCGACAAATAGCACAAAGCGGTCATCAAGTGCACTTTCTTCTCCTCGTAGTCTTCAGTCTCTTTCTCCCAGACCGTGTGACAAGCAGCTTACAACTAATCAGGTCACATCCATGGAGACCGCCACGCTTCATTCGGATACGGAAAGTGATCTGAATAAGATTCTTCCCACTAGTCCAGCGTCGCCATGTTCACTTCCGGGTGCTGAACTTCTCTCTCCATTGCCAAATATTTGCCTGACAGCCGAGCTGCCTTCTCTATTGAGTGACCAGGATCACACCACATTTAGTTTAGACTTTGCTGGCCAATCCTATCCTTCGTCACCGCATTCGTCTACATCACCAGTAGCCATGAACGGACCACTCTCTTTCGAACCAACACGATCACCTCAGTCTGCCAGGAACGGTATTACTTCCTGTCATTTTGAGTTTCCACACGAACAAAGTACATCCGCTCCGCCAACCCCGTCGACTCATCAGACTGGCCAGACTCTGCTATGTTCTTTTAGCAATGTTTCACCCTCTTCCATTCTCTCGTCGGGTGTCCATACAAACAACACCGGTCTTGCGCAGCATTGTATCACCGCTGTTTCAGTCCCGAATTCCCCGTCACAAGTAACCTTGAAGTTCCCTTCGTTATGCACGACGCTTCCTAATGACGCAACAACTGCTCTGAAACCACCTGTTTCCCCCCTTCTCGAACCTGCGATTACCGGCCATTCCGTGACAAAGAACCAAGTGGTCCTACCAACAGCTTTTAACCTTCCCTCTGTCTCTACCTCATCACCCGTGCGTTCCAGTCAGTTGATTCCGTCATTATTTATGTCTGTTTCGACAAACTCTCCAGTTCTTAGCCAAACGCTTCAATCTACTAGCCTCCCCCGCGACACTGCTGTGTGCAATACAACGCCGAGCTATACTATATCGTCTTCATCCATTCCGTCAGCAGTTTCTCAGTTGCTTGTTGGGGGTGGTAGCAGCAGTAGTAATGGCGGTAACAGCAACACTAACGGCGGTAACAACAAACCGTCGACTACTACAAGAGCGTTTTTCGTGGACGGTGACAATTTGTCTCAAGCACTGGCCCTGTTGCAGAGCTTGAACCCGAATGCTACTATCACACAACAACAGTTCCTTCTCATTCCGAGTGCCAACAAGTCCCAGATGTTTCTCCTTCGACCACCTTCGAGCAAGAGTCCCTCTGTTGCTGCATCACAACCTCCGACATCATTGTCTGTGCCTGCTTCCCAGACCAACCCGTCAACAACAACCGTTGTTCGACAGCCGGCAAGCTCGGTTGTAGCCTCACCTATCCCACCCAGCTCATCTGGTGAGCTAAAGTCAATGGTTGATACACAGCAGGTCAGCTGTAGTTCGTCGGCAGCGAATATTTTACCAAGTGTGCCAAACCAGATTTTGGCCAAGACACTGTCCACACCATCATGCGAGAGTGCGACGTTTCCGGTTAATATCAGACCACGTCTAGTCCCAACTGAACTAACAGTACCAATATACCAACAACCCTCGGCCGCGCCACCGCCACTTCCTCCAAGAGCTTTGGTCTGTTCCACAGCGAATTTGAGTTCACCCACGCTGCTACCGTTAAAACCGCCACCATCACATACAAGATCGCTCTCTAATGTTGACCTGGACCAAGATCGAATTGGACCCAAACCGCGCAGTGTCTCACCAAAAATAGCCTTACCTCCGACGCACAGTAACAAAGTGTCTGCTGCTGCTACCGTGCTGTGTGCTAATCCGACGGCACAATCCCAGATCACTTTGTCACTGCTTACATCCAGTCCTTCATTACTGGGTAATGAAGCACCTCTGGTGTTTCTCACGGACTCTCTTCGTCCTGCCCCAACCGTAGTACATCCGAACACACGACAAGTTAGCCTACTGCAAGCAAATGTGGTTGAACAGGCTTACTCTGTCTATACGCAATCCTCTACCGGTACCACTACACTGCTTACCCCGTCACCTGTAACTGTGATAAATCCGTCTTCTTCCTCTCTACCCCCTCTTGCTTCGCAACTTCCAGCTATTCCCGCCCCGTCCTTTTACACCAATTCATTTTCTGCCCTGTCACGTGAGCCCACTTTACCACATTACACCGCCACACTAGGTGGAAACAAGTTTGTCACCACGGACCAACCACACACAGTCATACAAACAAATCCGGTCAACTGTTATCCAACCACAATGGTACAAACACTTCCGGTAACCTATCTACCAGCAGCTACCATCGTGTCCCATTGTTCTCCCGCACTTGTGTTTCCACACACGGTGCAGACTCTGCAACCGGATCAGACCCACCTAGTTAGTAGGGATAACGGAATACAGTTCAGCCGACATCCCGTTTGAATGTATCATTCACTCTTTCACCCAGCTTCAGTTTTCAGCTCGTCCTTTCCTGCTGTTCCGCTTGTTCTGCTGCTGGCCTTCCTCAGATACAAGATAGACACAACAAATATGCTTCACATAAACAGTGCAATTGTCAACACTATTATTACTATTATTGTTGTTATTATTACTATTGTCTTTGATCCAAAGCAGCTTTTCTAGGTTTCCACGTTTGTCCATTTCATTCTCTGTCCATCTATATGATTCTTTGCAAGTACTGTCAAGACGCTAGAGATGCGCGTAGTCTTTTCAGTTCGCGTTTCGATCATCAGTCCGCCTTCGAAGCCATGTCCAGCCATCATCTTTACTTTGCATCAGTGGTCCCTTTATTGTGATTGTTCATCTCGATTGTTGTTCCTTCCCGTCTCTACCGTTATTTCACCTCAAATACCGCTCCTTCTTCCGAAGTCGATTATGTTTATGTGAGAAATCTATTCGTGTCCCCATCTCACTTTCCTATTTCCACTGGAACCCCAACTTGTTGTACTGGTGCGTCTTAGTGAATGTCACTTGGTTCTACGTACGCTACTTGTTCCTGGTGATTCTGTACTTACGAGATGTCCGCAATACCAACCAAATCCCTCAACACATGGTGGCATTTTCGAAGCTGTTTGTTCCTCCGTTGTGTTCGGTGATCTTCACCCGCAAAACTACTGTTTTTTGAGGCATTGGTTCTCTGCTTATGTACCGTTCGCTCCTGAGCATATCTCCTTTGAATCACATTCGCTCTTCCCGTTGTTTTTGTTTCATTAGTAGTGGGCAGTGTACAGCTTTCACACACCGTCGTTAATTTCTTGTTTATGACGCAGGAAATCTGCTTTTATTTTCTCTGCCCCATCAGCCTAGGTTTTCCCGCTTATTGACCGCGCCTGTTGTTACTTTCTCTGTTTCTGTACCCATCATCAATCTTTCAATCTGGTTTATTCAACTGCAATCATTACAGCGCAACACTAACGCTAGATCCAAAATTATATTTCTTTTTGTCATTGACGGAGTACTGCACTTTGACGGGGCCGATGGTGGGTTCCCATTCAGCCTGGTCTCGAGGTGTGAGTATAGTGACGGATATCCGATAGAAACTAGAATTCTTCATTCTAGATTCTTAGTCGTTGTGTTCGGTCACATTTGTAACTTTCCTCGCTTGGGTTTTTTGTTCAATCGATTACTGTTCGACCTGGTACAAATTTATTAGCGAATCTTATGTACGAAGTAAACGCGTCCAGTCGCACTCGTAATGTGAAATGTACACTGTTGCTCCTAAGCAATAGACTTGGTGCAATTTTACCAAACCATCATCGATCAAATGTTACTTTTTCATCTATAACGCTTGTACTCTGGATTAATGTGCTCAGGAGAGAAAGAAACCACATCGAAATATTGCAAAACTGGCTATAACTGTCGGATTCCAGAATACCTCTCAGACCACTGAGGGCCATTTTATTCAGTTGAGGTACGAAGCCTACAGAAACAGAAATGAGCTTCAGAACATTAATCTTTTTTCAGATTTTTATATGATTAATCGGAGATTTCAAAGTTGGCTCAGCATTCCGGGTTGTCTCTTTGAAGAGTGCCAAACGACTGCCGTTTATATGGTTAGGTTGGAAAAAGATCCTGTACAGATCACACTGCACTGTAGTTGTTGAGCGCATTGTTTAAGCTGGTTTTTAGTCTCCAAGTCTTTTTTCCTGCTTCTTAGGTTTTCGTGCGTTTTCTCGTTCTTGGGATGTGCGTGTCGACTCCATCCAATAGTCATTGGTGGTATACCCAAATACTTCCAAAATCAGTCTGTGGTCAGAACTCTGGCTATCCTCACCCAGATTTCTGTTCGGCAGGAAAGCAAGAATAAAGTACATTTGCACAGGAAATGGGTTTTGACAAAAGATTCAGTTGAATCTTTCGTCTACGGTGGTCCGTTTCAACTGAATGTGCTGCACCAGGCCGCCTCATACTTCAGTTGGTACAGTTTTTGAAATCTCGCAGTGCGTTGTCTAAACCTAGCACGCTACTCATAAGGTTGCTGAAAACTATCGCTATCCACAACCGGTTTCACTGTTCTTGAGGTGAAGAATAGTGTCACAAACAAAAGATTAATTTAGGATTCAGCTGATTCTCTTGTGAAACAAGATGCTTTCGTAAATGAGGGCATTTTGTGAATTACCTACAGTCTGAGTTGAAGTGGAACGTCAAGTCGAAGGAATCTCGGGGACTGCCTAACTGAAATCTCAGGAAGGGGAAAACCGGTAGTAGGTTGTCGAAGTGTTTTCAGTAGCCTTATGCGCAGTGTGCTTCCTTGCGAATTAACCTGTTTTTGGAGACTGAACACTGCGTTCTCGATACTAGATCCTCGACACGACAAACCATTCTTGTGAGGTTCGCTACAGTTCTTGGGCAGCTTCGTATGTTTCGCACTCTGAATTATTGGAATGAAGCGTACGTTGTAAGCCCACGAAATCTGGGCATTGGGACCACAATATAGTTGGCCGGAATCTGTTTTTTGTTTTTGATTCGTTTCTGAATACTTGTCAAGCATACCGTCGATCGTTTTGGACTTAATGTAGGTAAGCATGGGAAACTTAACGACATGTGACTGAATTCAACGGGAAGCTAGGTACTTAGGATGCCGTTAGGTGTTGAATATAGGCTAATTCATGACTTTAAACGAACAGCACAGGCTTACGTATGCATGTGTTGCGGTCATTCACTCTCTGAGTTCCAGGTATTTTCAACATTTCTGTGGTCTCCGTAAGGTGTATCCGGTCGATGTGACTTTGGATCCAACTTTGGGCATGTACAGTTCGCCATATCACAACAGCCAAACGGCTGTGTCAACCACCAGAAGATGTTAACAGAGTCAAACAGCAGTTTCGAACAGGTTGTCATCCCTGGATGTTTCCTGACTTTCTTACTGTCAGTTCATTGGGTTGTACAGTTTTGATGAAACTATTGGGAATAATCGAGTCCCAACAGTGTTACTTCATGATATGTCAAAGCAACTTATTTTTCATGCTGCACGCTGAATGTTCACTTCCTGTTAAATGGAGCTTCTCACAGACAGACGGAAGCGTGGAACTGCCGTGGGCCGTCCACTTGACCCATTACTTGCATACACAGCTACAGCTGAACTTGGACATACCGGCTTTCACGGCAGATGTGTCAGTAATGCTTTTTCGCTGTGCAATACTTCTGTTCAGTTTATATTTTCAATGGGGCGAATCCATGTTTTCTATCCACTTGCGAGCTGAAACAGGACTACATTTTTTATTGAGGTATGACCAACTTGAGCAGACAATGACCATGTTTGATATGTATCGTAAATCCTCGTGCACTGGCATTACACTCGTCATAACAGACTTGCCTCATGGGGAACTAACCGAAATTCGGTACGCCTGTACGACGAAGTCACGAAGGTTTATTTAGATATCTTGGCAGAAGGAAATAGAATTCTTAGTGTAAATGTTTAGCGAAGACATACTTTGGGGAAATACTTTGGTCCTAATCTCTCGGAGGTGTCGCACCGAATGTGCCCAAACTTTAATGCCTCCCTTTGCTTCCCAATGATGGCCCAGGTAGTTAACATTTGGTCACTAGAAGGGGAAAAAGTTTTTAGTGCGAGTTACGAGTCATCTTCTGGACCCGCGATGCTACCAGACATATCTGAAGAAAGTGCTTCTCTGCCACGGTACATCCGTGCATGTCCATAGTTTTATCTGCTCCTGGGGAAACAGATATATCAGCTTAGCAACAAAGCATTCATCCAGAGAGATATTTGAACCCATTCTGATGTGTATTCATAACGAACCACAACGTGTCGTTGACAATTCAAGTTTAGTCCATCTGCTCAAGGTCTTCAGAAACCCGATGGGTAAACACTGATAGTCAAGTGGTCAGACAATCGCGTATTGACCCCAGATGACATGAGTACGTTGTTAGTCCTCACGAGCACATTAAGCCTCTTTTGTTGTTCATTAGCTTGACTGCTAATGTGTCTCTCCATCTATCGCTTTTTCCCTTTCACAAATACTGTAGTGGGTAGAAAAAGTCCTATCCACGAGGTGACTTATCTGTCCTAAACCGTTTGGTGTGCAACGACACTGCCTCGCACACGTGTCAGAAACAACTTGTCTGTGTGGGACAATTCAGGTCACTTGTGCTTTTCGTGGATGTTAAGATGCCTCATCAAAAACAGTATTTCCGCAGCACATTCTGTGGCTTGTTAACGATGGTATCGGTATTTTCTCAGTAGATCCATATTCCTGATATGTCGTAGTTTGATTTAGAAGCTCAACTTTTCGCCTGGCATTATACTAATTAGAATAAAAACCGTAGAGATCTTCTCAGAGGTCACACGCCGCATACCGTTTGCTGCTTTTAGTTGAACCATGCGGATGACGTCAGTCTATGTTGTAATTCGTGATTGGTTTTGCCGTAGGTTCTGCTATATATACGGCCTGAGAGTAGAGTACAGCTACTGGATTTTGATTACACCAGGTCAACACTCAAACGCTGTCTTGCTCCGGTAGAGCCAGTCACGCCAAACCCCCTTTAGGAAGTCAATTGCAGCACCCTCCAGGATTTTTGGTAATCGTTCCTCTTGTGAAGTACGATACAGACGATTCCAAATGTACAGGGGTTGATTTTGCATACGCTGCCAGGATCAGTTGAGATTGCGAGTTTGAAACTGCCTACCCATCAACTGAAATGTTTGCCCTAAGTTTTTGACCTTCAAGTGTCTGAAGATACTGGCACATGATGAAAATCTTATCAGAAATGGAATCCCAAATGCGTGCTACGTTGTAGACTGTCACGCGGGTGTTTCTATACACGATCACAGAAACATGATTCACTAATTCTACAAGTATGTGGCTGAAGTTACTCGTGTGTCCACTAAGGATTGGAACAACTCTTTTGGAACTAGACAGCCTCCGCGTTCATCCGAATTCCCATGAAATGCTACAACTCTGATGAATGACATTCATGAAATGTTTGATCTCTTCAAAATATAACTGTCAAAAAGTTGACGTCAGTGGTCAAAAGAATTTCAATCCTGCTACGATGTGACGCAATTGAACGATCAGCGTCAACTGGGAAGCCAGCTCAACGCGTTTGTGATCAAGAGCGACATCATAGAAGGCATGTTATCACTCATAGCAACCACTGTACCGTTTCGTTCTACATGGATTTTAGTCAGTCGTTCCCCAAATCGACAAACCACGCATGTTGAATGGAGAACTCATGTCCTTTATTGACAGATTTGTCTTTTTTCTTTCATCCCATTCTATGTAACTTGTTACATCTTGGAGTATGAGAAACCTAACTGAAATAGATCTGGTAGGTAGGATGGATTTGTGGGATGTCTCTTTGAATTCTCAATATTCCCCTGCCCGATAATATCGATAATAATGTATCCATTGTGGCACTGAACATTGGCATGTCTACTGTCAGTGAATAACCACAAAACTTGAAAAATGGAATGGGAAGGCAGTCTGAAAGTGGACTTGTGTGATACATCCAGATGCACACAAAGCTATACTTGAAACCGGGAGCCGAGTATGCGTTTTGCTCCAGAAGTGTGTCCCCCCCATGGTCGTCCCACAAATAGAAGTGGAATCATACAAATTACAGCAGTCAGGAACCATACATCCAGCTAAATCGATCGTTCTGGTGGACAAAACAAGTGATGCCTTATGGCTTTGTGGTTACATTTCAACCGGTCCGAATTAACCATTTGGAATTCATTAGCGTCCGTTGCAAACGGCAGAGCTGTTTGCCAAGCTAAATGGCGGAACAATATTTCCTAAAACTGAGGCTTCCAATGCATACTTTCAGCTGGAAGTATGCAAAACTTATCGTGAACTAGACTTTTTTGTAGCCGTAGAGGAGCGTATTAATCCCGTTCGCTCCCACTTGGATATAAGTGTGAATGGGCAACTTTTAGCAGGGTTGGTCGTTTGCCAAGTATGTCGTATCTACAGAATCCATAAGCCCTCTGGTAATTAGTTCAGCATTCATTGGATTGGAGCCCAATGTAGGTTTGGGCTTAACGGATTGCATAGTCTTGAGTACGA